AGCATGCACACGCACACATGCACCCAGTGCAAATTTAAGCCACTGGGTCCGGGACTCAGACTGTAGTTAACTATGTGGGAGTCCAGTGACATAATCATTATGCCATCTGCTGGTCCCTGGACTCAACCTTTTGTCTGCATAGAGTAAAGGAACAATCAGAAGTTCTGTTGAATCTTTTCAGCTTATTCTTGATGGGCTGGTGCACTCGGGGTAAATGCAGCTCCGAATGCTACTTCCTTGTCAGGATTTTCATCTACTCCATGAGTAATGGTCCAGTAATCCTTGACTCATTTGTTAACTCTCTGATGTCTACAAGGAGATTTGAAAAATGTATTTCACCTATCTTTTCTACTTGAAAAGGTAATTTCAGATCTGAATTACCTAGTCTTCCATTATCAGAAAAGCAAGTTCAATACCATAGGATTGACACACCAAGAGTTAGAAAATAACCTAACTAGGGGCCAGCAGTGGCGTAGTGGTTGACACTGGACTTTCATGTAGCTGATCCTAGTTCGAGTCCTGGACCTGGTGGCATGCTTTCTCACTTTCCCTCTCTGTCTGTCTCTGGTTAATACACATGCCCTGTAGCCAAATCAAAAATAATAATAATTAAATTAAACAAATCTTTTTTAAAAAAGAAAGGAAATATCCTAACTATATCCTAAAAAAACTCAGTTTCTTATATAACTGATGTCTGCCATGTAAATTCTATAATTACATGTCAAAAATAGACTATAATGTTAGCATGTACCAGTTAAATGAGAGGACTTAATATAGCTTCCTTTTTCCTCATCCTTGTTCAGGGCCTCTTGTTTCCTTATTTCATGTTTCCGGTGAGTGCTATGGGGCCAATTTTCTGTTCTAAAATTTTAAAAAAAGAAAAGATTAAAAAAAAAAAAGAAAACAAATCTGACCCATAGACATTTTAGCAATTTATATAGCCTAATAACTGGTTTGCAAAGCAATCAGAAAAACTGTATCTTTGATTAGAATTTATGATCTTTTTCATTCCTTTTATCTTTCCTTGGTAGGGCTTTAAAAAGTACTTGCTGGACTCTTGCTGGTGAATTCATTTTGTTCATTCCAGTGGTGAACATGTGGACCAAAGGAGGTATTCTAGAGAATTGGGCCATTCGATAACACTTCATCTATTTAGTGCCCAAATAGTGTAGCACTCTGACCTAAGTGCTAAAGATGGTAGCAACCCACATTAGAAGATTCCACCACGGAAGCAGCCCTGGGATAGAATGTTTGCATCCATAGGGCCATTAGGAATATTTGCAGGTGAGAAAACTAGAGAAGTTTAGGGATAATTCTATTTTAAAAGATAGGAGTTTGGAGATTGTTTTTTACAAAGCTGTGACAGAGAATTGAGTTAATATTAAGAATTTAAAATTTTTATGATGGTGATGTAGTGGTTGACACTGGATCTTACATGGCCGACTCCACAGTTTGAGTCCTGTACTCAGCAGCTTGAAAATCACTCCAGGTGCATGTGGGTACGTGCCCAAAGTCCTGACAGGAGAAGGGTTTGCTGTGTGGCCATTCTCCCTGGGGAGTAATTTCTTACTTTCTCTCTCCCTGTGTCTCTCTCTGGCAAGTGCACACACCCTATGACAAAAATTTTTTAAATGATAATTAAAGGGACCAGCAGGTGGTGTGGTGGTTAAGGGTACTGGACTCCCACATGGCTGACTGCAGTTCAAGTCCAGAGCTGGCAGCTTGCTTTCTCACTTTCCCTCTCTCTCTTGCTCACTCTGTCCCTCTCTGGTCAAATTTAACTAAATAAATAAAGTTAAATAAAATAATTCTAAAAAGAATAATAATTAAAAAAAACCCCACTTTCATGACAAGCATGTAATTTCCATAGAAAAGTTGATACTCGTCCATTAATGGAGTAATCTAAAGCATTGAAATATGTCACTAAAGCATTAATATAAGAGCTTTTTTTTTTTTTTGCCATAAGGTGCATTCGCTCACTGGAGAGATACACGGTAAGAGACAGAGAGAGGGAAAGTGAGAAATCACCTTCAGTGGGGATGGCTACAGTGTAATCCTGTCTCCTCCTTTCTTGCCTAAGGAATTTGGGCATGCATACCCACATGCCTGGCATGTTTTTCAGGCCACTGGGTCTGGGACTTGAACCACAGAATCGGCCATGTGGGATCTAGAGCTTTCATCACCACACCATCTGCTGGCCCTATAATACCATTTATAAAAAAAAGGAAATGTAAGCATCATTGAACTAATTAACTTAATCTTCAACGTAATCTAAGCAATTATTTTTTTTTTGCTTTAGTTTTCATACTGGCTTTTTAAAATGTCAGAAATACTGCCTTTTGGTTACAGTTGTAATTCTTCTGAATTTTGAGGTACTAGATTAAGAATGGGGTTTATAAGCTTTTTTTAAAAAAATTATTATTTTATTTTATTTTTTTTTTTTGAGAGGTTTTTGCTATAGGGCACATGTGCTTGCCAGAAAGACAGAAACAGAGACAGAAAGCAAGAAATTACCCTCCAGGGAAGATGACCACGCCACAATCCTTTCTCCTCCATTTTCCTCTTGCGATCTTGGGATCTTGGGCATGCACGCATATGTGCCCAGCGTGAGTTTAAGCCACCAGGTCTGTGACTCGAACCGCAGTTGACTACATGGGAGTCCAGAGACATAACCATTACACCAACTGCTGGTCCTAAATTTATTCATTTATTTAAATTTGACCAGAGAGAGAGAGAGAAAGTGAGAAAGCAAGCCACCAGGTCCAGTACTCAAGCTGTGGTCACTCATGTGGGAGTGTCCAGCGTCTTAGCCACATGTCATCTGCTGGTTCAGGGGTTTATAAGCTTTAAAAAAGTATTGTTTTTTTTCTTTTTTTTTTTTTTTTGAGAGGTTTTTGCTATAGGGCACGTGTGCTCACCAGAGAGACAGAGAGACAGAAAGCGAGAAATCACCCCCTCAGGGGGATGGCCACGCTGCAATCCCTTCTCTTCCATTCTCCTCTCGGGATCTTGGGCATGCATGCACACGTGCTCAGCATGAGTTTTAAGTCAACAGGTCCAGGACGCAAACCGTGGTCGACTACACAGGAGTCCAGCAACATAGCCATTACGCTAACTGCTGGTCCCAGAAAGTGCTTTTTCTTGTTTAAAAGAAATTTGAAGTCTAATAGTATCTTTAGCTGTTAAAATAATAAGCGAATTGATTTTTGTGATTAGTTACAAATATTTTCTATTTTATAATTATAAAGATCTTATATTTTACTGCATTTAATTGAAAACACATAATCCTGGGACCAGCAGTTGGTGTAATGGCTATGTCGCTGGACTCCCACATAGTCGACTGTGATTCGAGTCCCGGACCCGGCAGCTTAAACTCACGCTGGGTGCGTGTGTGTGCATGCTCAAGATCCCGAGAGGAGAATGGAGGAGAGGGGATTGCGGCGTGGCCATCCCCCCTGGTGGGTGATTTCTCACTTTCTGTCTGTCTCTGTCTGTCTGGCGAGCGCACGTGCCCTATAGCAAAAAACTCCAAAAAAAGAAAGAAAGAAAACACATAATCCCAATGTTGGTATTTTGTCAGGGTAATATTTTTATATCACACTTAAAATTCACTATGCTGGGACCAGCAGATGGTGTAATGGTTACATCGCTGGACTCCCACATGATTGGCCATGGTTCAAATCCCAGACCTGGCAACTTAAAACTCATGTTGGGCATGTGTACTTGCAATGCCCAAGATCCCAAGAGGAGAGGGGATTGCAGTGTGGTCATCACCACTTGGGGGTGATTCTTGCTTTCTGTCTCTCTGTCTCTTTCTGTCTCTTGGACAAGTGCCTGCGCCCTATAGCAACAATCTCTCTTAAAAAAAGAATTTACTAAGCCAAGTATGAATCATAGCCTGTGCTTTTTCTAGACCTTCAAGTTAAATTTATGTGTAGTTTTCTTGCTTATTTGTAAAAAATTGACAGAAGAAGAAGAGCCAGCAGGTGGTATGGTAGTGAAGGTGCTGGATCCCACATGTCCAACTTTGGGGTTCAAGTCCCAGATCCAGAAACTTGAAAGACACACTGGGTATGTATGTATATGTGCTCAGAATCCTGAGAGGAGAATTATGTGTATGTACTCAAAATCCTGAAAGGATAATGGAGAAAGGATTGCGGTGTGGCCATCCTTCCTGAGGGGTGATTTCTCACTTTTCTTCTCTCCTTTCTCCTTCTCCTTCTTACTTTCCAGTGAACACATAGCCCTATAGCAAAAACAAAGTTGAGAGAGAATATGATAGAATTTAGTAAAACTGTATTTCAGTGAAAACAAACTTTAGTACTATTATACTTCTATGACTAAAGTCAATTTTTTGTTTTCACGTACTTTAGTAAGGAAGTAATAAGATTAATGTTTGTTGTAGTAAACAGTTTCTAGTGAACAGTTTATTTGGTAGGTATTTTTTGCTATTAGGAAAACTCAGTTTTTTTTTTTTTTGAACCTTAATATAAGGTTTTCTTTTTATAAAATTTTTGACACAATTTTTTGTTAAATATAATGTCATTTGAGTTTTTTCTCAATATTAGGAGAAAAAAATATATATGTATTCCCCTCCCCCTCCACACAACTCTCCACACTTCAAGATATTTTACTGTCTTTTCCTTATTTTGAAAAAGGCCTTTTCATTTTTAGGAGAAGGAATTTATGTGTCATAGTGTGAATTTTTAAGTATTCCTGTGCATATGAATATTGAGACCTATAACATGGAAAACAAAACCTAAAACATAACAATCATAATGCTTAATAATATCAGAGTAGTATTTAGCATTCTGAACTTGGTACTAAGTGCTGTCATAGACAAGTACTAATGAAGAGTCAGAGCTAATAACTGTCTTTTCTTCTCCTCTTACTCCCAACTTTCTGGGGGGGAGGATGTGTGTGTGAAAGATGTTCTCTGCTACTATCAACTGATGTATGTAATTGTAAAGTTCTGATAATGATTGTCCATTTTTACTTAGCATGGACATATATCAGGAAGCTATGTGACATCAAAGAAGGGTCAACATAACAAAAAATATAAAAGTAAAGAATATGATGACTACAGTACCTACAGTGATGACAACTTTGGTAACTACAGTGATGACAACTTTGGTAACTATGGTCAGGAAACAGAGGAAGATTTTGCCAGTCAGCTGAAGCAATACAGACGCGTTAAGGAAACCTCAACTACTGCTTTAGGGTCATCGTTTTCTAAAGAACCAGGAAAAAAACAGAGAATGAAAGGAGTTCAGCAAGGTAAGTTTAAAATTCCAGTCTATTTTAGAATATAAGAAATGTACTAAAACAATAACTATAGAGTAAAAACTTAGACTTTTTGTTTTAGTCTCTTCTCAAGACCAACTTGTGTTACCTAAATTCATCTTTCTTAATTTTGTAAACTTTGAGGAAAAAAAAATGTATAAATATTTAATCTACATGGTATCTTAATATTTCAATTAGAAAAATTATTTTTAAAATATATAAAATGTAATACAACTTTCTTATATTTTTTCCTCTTCCCTGCTATGTGATGTCGATATGCAGTTGTGTCTTTTACCCTATGTATTACTTTAAATTTTAAAACAATAAGGACAGAATTCTGAGAAGCCGTTCTTTTATTAGGCTTTAAAATATGACAGTCTTTGGTACCAGCAGGAGGCATGGTGGTTAAGGTGCTGGATCCCATGTGGCCAACTCTACAGTTCAAGTCTTGTATCTAGCAGCCTGAAAAAAACACCAGGCACATGTGCTTGCCTCCCCAAAATCCTGGAGGGAGAATGGAGGAGAAGGGATTGCAGCATGGCCATTCTCCTTGAGGAATTTCTCACTTTCTCTGTCTCTGTCTCTCCCCAGTGAGCACAAAAATATATATATTTTTAACTTTATGTATTTATTTATTCATTTATTTTAATTTGACTAAAAAGGGACAGAGGAGAGTAAGAGTGAGAAAGAGAGGAGAGAGAAGGAAGGTGAGAAAACAAGCCTCCAGGTCCAGGACTCAAACCACAGCCGGCCATGTGGGAATCCAGCTCCTTTAACCACCACATCACCTTCTGGCTCGAGCTGGAAGGCTTAAAAAAATTAAAATATGCCAATCATCTTTGCTATGTAAATGTATGTAGGACTATAGACATTCTTGAAGATTGGAAATAACATAATCTAAAGGCATTTCTGGAGTGATCACCTATTATGTGTTAAAGTACATGATTCCTGGTAAGATCAGGAGAAGTTGTCACCTGGTGACAATAAGTGAAGAAACTATAGGCATGTAAAACCCAAATTGACCTCAAGTATTAGCTTGATGAAAACTGGAGCAAGATGAAGTAGTGAGAAGCCACAGGCGAAAACTACCTTTTAATTATCTTTGAATAAAGGAAGCAATTATTAGTATATTTGGTTACTTCTGTGGCTTTTTTTCTTGATTTCCTAGCCAAATTTCTTTAAAAATATAAATCCAGGCTTAGCTAAAGGGAAAATAATTTATCTATTTCATTTCATTTTTTAAAGGATTCTTTATTTATTTATTATTATTTTTTCCCCATATATGTTTTGCCAGAGAAAGAGCGAGAGAGAGAGAGAGTGAGAGAGCAAGCCACAAAGTCCAAGACTCCAACCATGATCGGCCATGTGGGAGTGTCCAGTGCCTTAACCACCACGTCACCTGCTGGCCCCACATTTCGTTTTTGACATTTATTTTCCTCTCTTGAGATATGAAAATATTATTATATGGTCAGATGCAGAAAACATTTCCTATTTGTAGAAAAGATGACCAACAATGACCAAAGATAAAGCAAAACTAATTTGAATCCCTATCAGCCAGAATTTTTTTTTTGGGGGGGGGGAGAGGTTTTTTTGCTATAGGGCTCGTGCGCTTGCCAGACAGACAGAGAGAGACATAGAGACAGAAAGCGAGAAATCACCCCCTGGGGGGATGGTCACGCCACAATCCCTTCTCCTCCATTCTCTTCTCGGGATCTTGGGCATGCACGCACACGCGCCCAGCGTGAGTTTTAAGCCGCCGGGTCCGGGACGCGAACTGCGGTCGAGTACGTGGGAGTCCAGCGACATAGCCATTACACTAACTGCTGGTTCCCTCACCCAGAAATTTTTGATCTACCTTCTTCCAGGAAAAAAAAATACATACTGTTGTAACTTGTTTTTTTCTCTTGACTATGAATTATATTTCGGTCATTCTTATATTCTTTTAATTATTATTAATTTGACAGAAGGACATAGAAAAGAAGGAAAATGAGAAAGCACCCTCCATGGGGAATGGTCATGCCACAATCCCTTCTCCTCCATCTCTACTTTCAGGATTTTGGGCATGTACATATACATTTGTTTCTCAAGCCTCTGGGTCCTGGATTCAAACCATACAGTTGGCCATGTAGGATCCAGATACCCTAACCACCATATAGCCCCACTCTTAACTTAATACTTATTTCTGTACAGCTAATAGATATACCATAATTTGTCTCAACAAATTGTTAGATTTGTTTGGCACAAATTATTTGAGATTTAAGTTATACCATTTTTTTTCCTGTGATTAACCCTGCAATAAATATATTTAAACATATCTCAGAAAATATCAAACATCATTTTCTTTAAAATAATTTTTTTTAAACTTTGTTTCTTCCAAGAAAAAGAGAGAGAGAGAGATGGACAAACAGATACCCCCAGTAGTATCTTCACTCTGCAGTCCACCTCCAGCTTGTCTGTCAGGATCATAGCCATGTGTGCACTTGCACAGCATGTATAGGAAGACCTTGGAATGTGAACTAGCAACTCTCACATGTGGCTTCTGCATTACAGAGTATTGTGTTAACTCTGTCACCATGGATAGCCATTTTCTTAAGAAAGAGATCCAGTGCCAGAAGGTGGTGTAGTGGTTAAGGTGCTGGATTCCCACATGGTCAACCACAGGCAGAGTCTCAGACCTGGCGGCTTCAAACTCACGCTAGCTAAGGGTGCATGCATGCCCAAAATCCCGAGAGGAGAATAGAGAAGGGATTACAGCATGATTATCCCCCAGAGGGTGTGATTTCTTGCTTTCCGTCTCTGTTTCTCCAGTGAGCGCAACATGTCGTATAGCAAAAATCTCTCTCTCCAAAAAAGAGTAAGTTCCTAAAGTAAAATTGTCAAGTCAAAAGACATAGCTACAACATTTGAAGATGTTCATCCATATACCAAATTGTTATCCAAAAATGTGATGTGCTAGTTTCTAAGTGCCCTACCAGTGTGTGAAAAATACCATTTTCTCCAAGCTCTAGCAACACTGAACTTTACTGTTCTTTGAGGTAAAAGAACAGTAAAGTTATTTTTTGAATAACTTTATTTTTGAAATGTTATTTAAAAAAATTTTTTTGAGAGGTTTTCGCTATAGGGCGCGTGCGCTCACCAGACAGACAGAGAGAGACATAGAGACAGAAAGCGAGAAATCACCCCCCAGGGAAGATGGTCACGCCGCAATCCCTTCTCCGCCATTCTCCTCTTGGGATCTTGGGCACACATGCGCCCGGCGTGAGTTCTAAGCCACCGGGTCCGGGACACGAACCATGGTCAACTACGTGGGAATCCAGCGACATAGCCATTATGCTAATTGCTGGTTCCCTTAAAAATTTTTTTTTAAGTAAAACATTTTTATTAGCTGTCTTGTAGGTTTTAAGGTTCTTAGAACATTTACTAATTCAGTATGACTTTGGTAAAATGAGAAATTACTTTGAACTATAACTTACTACCTAACACATAACTTTTGTAATTTGGATATCTTTTGAGATACTTTAATACCAAATTTTTCAAAAGGAAGAAACAAGTATAATTTTTACTTGGAGGTATATATGTATGTATCTATTTAAAATTATTAATAGAAATTTGGCTTGCTGCAAATTAACCACTTAGCCTAAATCTGTTAAATATATGAATATAATATTTCTCTTTAAAAAAAAACCAGAAAGACTCATTATGTTAAGGAAAAGTAAAAAGAATAAAACTGTATTTAGTTTCTCTATGTTGTTAACTTCTCTTAAGAAACAAAGAAACAGGGGCCAGCAGATGCCCTAATTGTTATATTGTTGGACTCCCACGGAGTCAACTGAGGTTTGAGTCCCGGACATGGCAGCTTAAACCTCATGCCAGGCGTGTATGCATGTGTGCCCAAAATCCCAAGAGAAAAATGGAGAAGGGATTGCTGCATGGTCATCTTTCCTGGGGGGTGGTTTCTTGCTTTTTGTCTGTCTCTCTTTGTCTCTCTGGAGATCACACGTGCCCTATAGCAAACAACTCTCATTAAAAGAAAAAAAAGTTGCTGAACTCCCACATGGCTGACTGCAGTTTGAGTCCCAGACCTGGTGACTTCAAACTTACGTTGAGCATGTGTGTATGAATGCCCAAGATTCTGGGAGGAGAATGGAGGAGAAGAGATTACAGTGTGGCCATCCCCCCGAGGAGTGATTTCTAGCTGTCTGTCTTTCTCTGTCTCTCTGGTGAACACTCTTGCCCTATAGCAAACATCTCTCAAAAACATAAAGAAGCAAGCAGCAGTGCCTAGGAAGTAAAGACTTAATTAAATTTTTTCATTGACCATAGTGAGAGAGAAAGAGAACACTCTGTACATTATACACTATTAAAAATATGCTCTTCCTTGTAAACTTTATAGTTTGACAGATGGGCTGTTTTTTTGTAATTTGAAGTAACCATTTAAACTTTTTTAGGTATTGAGCAGAGGGTTAAAAGTTATAACGTTGGTCGTGGACGTTGTTTGCCGAAGAAAATCAAACGAAAAGACCGTGGAGGACGAACTAGTAAGGGGCCCAATGTTTATTCTGGATCAGATGACTTTCATGAGGTACTAAGAATTTATATATAAGGAGAAAAGAAGCTTTTCCATCTTTTAATCTATTTGGTTGTTAAGAAACCATTGTGATGTTAATGTTACTTTCCCTAGTAAATGAACGTTTCCAGCTCAGATCAAATAAGTATGACACCCCTCCCCTCAAAAATAAATATTGTTTAGTCATGATACTGTTGATAGTATTGAGGAACAAATACAGGTGGCCTTTAAATAAAACTGGTGTGTTTGATGGAATCTCAAAATAAAACCAATGAATTGAAAGCAAAATATATCCTCTATTAGTTCTCTGCTGTGTTCTCCTTTCCTTGGAGTCATCTTCCCCAAGTGCAATGGCAGTGAAATGCTAAGGACTTGATACATAGCAGGGCCAGAAGGGAGGCAGTGATATTATTGAATTACTCAGAGTTGAAAGCATTGAAAGAGAAGCATAGGGGGGTATAAATGCTTGGAAAGATGAATATATGTGCCTTGCATGTAACAGATATTCAGTAAATTCTGTTGCATTGAGTTAAACTCTGAACATGTACATTTCAACTCGCAGCTACAGTCTCTGGATTAGAATAGTCCAATTTCTGTGTTCTACCACTGTACCAGTAATATCTGATTGAATTATGCAGAGGCACAAGGGTTGGCTATTAAAAGTTGCAACCTTGAATGAGAGCTAAGGGATTACATATATGCTGTAATTTTAAAATGTTTGGTTTTCTGACCTCTAGGTTTAAAGATCATGGGCAGAAATTTTATAATATGTATTTCTTTCCCTTTTTTTACTATTGTTTATTTAATTTTATTAATTATTATTATTATTATTTTTAAATTTGACCAGGGTGAGAGAGGGAAAATGAGAGAGCAAGCCCCGAGGTCCAAGACTTGAACTGCAGTTAGCCATGTAGGAGTCTAGAACCCTAATCACTATGCCAGCTGCCGGCCCATGTATTTCTTGATATACTACTTAAAGAGATGTTAATAGATATGACTTGAAAAAAAGTTCTGCCTTAAAAAATTTGTGAAACTCAACACATGTTACTTTGTTTTTGGGGTTTCTCTCAGGCAACATTAATTGATTAAAGGTTTTGAGCAGGTTAGGTGTAAAGAAGCCTGTTTACTTTGTTGATCATTTTCAAAATTTACTTAACAATGAGTTCATTTTTTCCTACACACAGCTATTAATATTCCCTGAGCCACTCAGTGTTACATGGAATAGCAGTTTTGGAATTATCATAGTTATTATTTCAGAATTTCTGGGTGATTTTAACCTTGTTCATCTTCCAGGACAGCAGTAGGCCTCTAGAATGTACTGCTTTCCCTAACATAGACTAATATTAATGCTTTCTAAGTAAGTCTTCTTCTGTCCCCAGTACTGAAACCATATACCTAAAAAAAGTTAGCTTCTAAGAAGGTGTTAACTTTGAGCAAGTTGCTGCCTAACTCTGAGCTTCAGTTTGCTTAATCTGCAATAGGAGCATATAATATTAAATTAACTCTAAGGGCCACTTCAAGCACTATTTTCAATGTCTATAGATATAGGCTATAACTAAAATATTCTTTATCATGTAATAAAAAAAGATTAAAAAGTATTATCAACTATAACAGTTGATTGACTATCCTAGAGACATTTATGATTCCAGAAATAACTGAGAACCAGGAAAATGTCAGAGCCCAGGGAAGGAGCTCATCACATTCAGGAATGGTCTCGGGGAGTCCCATGCAGAGTAGAGGAAACAGGCAGGCTGCACCCAAGTAACCAACATAGATCTGTCCCCATCCTAGGCCTTCCCAGGTGACCAAATAAATTTAGGTGTACTTTGAATTTTTTTGAAAATGCAAGAGTAGTCATAGAGTAAGCAAGTCTTTGTTGGATTTTAAAGATATATTTATTCTGGGACGAGCAAATGGCATGATGGTTACATTGCTGGACTCCCACATAGTCAACTGTGGTTTGAGTCTGAGACCTGGTGGCTTAAAATTTACATCAGGTGCGTATGCATGTGTGCCCAAAATTTTAAGAGGAGAATGGAGGAGAAGAGATTGAAGCATGGCCATCCCTCGGGGGGTGATTTCTCACTTCCTCTCTGGCGAGGCCATGTGCCCCATAACAAAAATCTCTCTCTCTCCTCCCTGAAAAAAAAGATATATTCATTCTATTGACCATAAAACTTTTAAGTTTTTCTAGTGTTTGCAGTAGCTATGAAGTTTTCTGTAAATACATATTTTTTTCATGGTAGATCCTTTCATTTCCTATTACTTATATTTTAATATCTTACGCTTTTATCCCTTATATCAAGATAATATATCTTCTAATGCAATTAGGTTAAAAAAATGGCAGAGGGTGAGAAATGGGAAAAAATATATATACACACATATATATAAAACTAGAAATGGAAAATTATCAATGATAACATGTATGATTAAGCCACTCTGCAGTATATTCTGGATGGGAAAACACATTTTGTATGCTGTGACGATGCTCAGTGAATGAATGTAAAATTAATTAATTAATTTAAAAAATTTTTTAAAAATGACCAGGTAAGTACCTTGACTTTCCCATCTTCTCTCCTTTCTTGTACTGTGCTTTATTAGCAGTAGTGTGATAGACTGAAAGGAACATGGAACTGGAAAACATAATCCCTAAATTTGGCCCAGACTCTGTTAAATGACCATGTGTCCTTTGGCAAGTCTCTAACTTCTCTAATTAGCAGTTTTCATATTTGTCCATTGGAGGGATGAACTAGATTACTTCCAGTTCCCTGGTTCTTCCAGCTTCTACATTACAAGAGATCTTAAGGTAGAGAACATTGGTGATTTCTCTCTAGCTTCAAACTTAGAAAGTTATAATTATCCGTAATACAAGAGAGTGCATATTTTATTATACTTTCGCCACAACTGAGTAGTATTATGAATTTTCAGGATTTCTATAATTTTATTTTTAAAGTATGGTTATGCATTTTTGTTAAAATAGAAAGAAATAGGCTAGTTTGCAGCCACTAGTAGCCATAAGCAGATCGTTAAAAGTTTCTCTAAAAATTAATGAATGTCCAAACTGAATCACTTTTAATAGCCAATCTGCTTTCCATATTTATTTAATTATACATTTTAATAGCTAGTAATATTTCATATGTTGCATTCAAATGAAACTTTTTTCTTACAGTATAGTAAACCAGCAAAAAAATGGAAGGTTATGACTCAGGAATTTATTAATCAGCACACAGTGGAACACAAAGGAAAACAAATCTGTAAATATTTCCTGGAAGGGAGATGTATAAAGGTAAATCTATAGGAGTATCATAAATCATTTTAACTTGCAAAATAATGTTTGAAATTTTAAGCCTTTTAAGGGGATGGTTAATTTTTAAAAATTTTTCACATAGTTGTAATAAAACTGGTTCTTTAAAATATATCCTGCATAGAAATACTATACATTAGAGAACATTTACTCATATTCTGGGACAATAACATAATTTGTTGAAGTCAGATCTTATTTAACATATAGAAAATGCTGACTATATGGTAAATACTGTTCAAAGTAACAACTGATATTAAATGACTTAACCTTTACAGCTGCTCTACAAGGTAGTTACTGTTGTTATCCCAGTTTTATTCATGGCACCAAGAAGTTAATTCAATTCTCATAATCACTCAATTAGAAAAGGTGTGTGCTCGTGGAAGCAGGTACTATGCTCTGAACCACATCCACTGTTTTGGGCAGGAATTCTAAGAGATTGTTCAGGTTATTAGTTTATTATTTAAAGATTAAAGATGACCATAATTCTATTATGAAACATTGCAGAGAAAATTATATTTAATTGTTTCTTTATTTCTTACCTTTTTTTTTTTTTTTTTTTTTTATCAGGGCGATCAGTGTAAATTTGACCATGATGCAGAGTTGGAGAAGAGAAAAGAGATCTGCAAATTTTATTTACAAGGGTATTGTACCAAAGGAGAGAACTGCATTTATATGCATAATATCCTTTATTAAAAATGTATGTGTTTTAAAAAATATTAAGTACAACTTACAAAGCCTCATTTTGTTGTAACTTTTAAACAACACATTACATAAACCCAGTCTAGTCAGAATTTGTGCTTCAAAAGGGAAAACTGTCCCTTTTATTTCTTAGAGAAATGAAATAACTCTTTTTTTGGAAAAACATTTTATGAAATAAAGGTAATTTTTATTTAATATAATATGCTAAAAGGGTTTCAAGAGACTATCCTTGAAGGAATCGTTGGCAAAATTTGTATTTTATGACATGATTATTTTACTTAGGTTCATAAGTAATAATGGGTTGTTGGGAAAGTCATGACACATTTTTGCATAGAAAAATACAAAATTATCCTTGCTGAAATCAGAAAATCGTCACCCTTTAACCTAGCAATCTCACCATTTTTGAAAATTCTAATCATTTAATTAATCTGAGTAGTTATTACTGGTGGTTGCTAAAATCACTAGGTAAAAAGTTGATGAGGAACTTTATAATTGATGGCTGGGGGAAGATAATACCTGAAAGAACTGATCGTAAAGATCACTAAAAAGAAACAACCAAATATGAAATGCCTCCTTATATGATGCAGTAGGCAGTGTTGAAATACCATTTGTGATTAGTTGATCAGTATTGAGATTAACAAATAAATGATACAAAAATACAAGGGGGAGGGAATTTATAGAAAGAAAAGCTCGAGAGCTATATTAACTAAATACAGTTTGTGGATTATGTTTGGACTCTAATCTGAATAAATTACAAAAAAATTTTTTTAACAGGGATATTGTATACTGATTGGGTACTACTTGAAATTAATGCATTAATTATGTCTGATTTATAATGCAGTCACAATTAGAATGAAAAAGTATTTCTCTTTGTTTGAAATAGATACAGAAACATTTACAAATTAAATGTATTTCTAATATTCTTTAAAATGCTCCAGTATTTGGAATGAATGTCATGAAGAGAGCGTAAGGGTAGTTAAAAATTACGAAATTATGGAAATTTTTGAACCACATAGTTAGATGAGGGGGTTTGTTTTATTATTCTATTTTGGTATATATTTGATAACCTTCAAATTAACTTTAAAAAAATCCTTAATGTCGTCCTTGGAGCCAGCAGGTGGTGTGGTGGTTAAGGGCGCTGGACTTCCACATGGCCAACTGCGGTTCAAGTCCCAGACCTGGTGGCTGGTGGCTTGCTTTCCCACTTTCTCTCTTTCATTCTTGCTCCCTCTTGCTCTTGCTATGTCCCTCTCTGGTCAAAATAAAATAAGTTTTTAAAGTTATTCTTTTAAAAAAAGTCATCCTTTAGGGATAACCATGCTTATGACATGGCATAAAGCATTTCAGACTTTTTCTATAATGTGTATACATGTTAAGAGTGGATGTATACATGTGTATATATTTATACACAAAATTTTTTTACAAAAATGAGATATATTTTTAAAGAATTATTTTATTTAATTTTATTTATTCATTCATTTATTTTTACTTGACCAGACACACACACACACACAGATAGAGAGAGAGGGAAAGTGAGAAAGCAAGCCACCAGGTCCAGGACTCAAACTGTCATCCGCCACGGCACCTTAACCACCATGCCACCTGTTGGTCCCCATAAAAATGAGATATATTTTTAATGATTGTGAAGATTGTATTTTTTTCAATTAACATATATATTTAATATATATAAACTCTATTTTACTGTGTGATGTGCTGTAAGGACCTTATTTTTTTTTTTCCAAATCTTTAGGTCACTGTTTCATCTTTACTAATTTAAAATGGCACATTTACCAGATCCTAAATCCTTTTATTTATTTTTTTTCATGATTCTACTTCTCTACTACTATTAGCAATTGTGCTATTTGACTATTCCTCTTTTAAAAAATATGTTCAAGGGGGACCAGCAGTTGGCATAATGGCTGTGTTGCTGGACTCCCATGTAGTCGACCGTGGTTTGAATCCCGGACCTGGTGGCTTAAATTCACACTGGGCTCACATGCGTGCGTGCCCAAGATCCTGAGAGGAGAATGGAGGAAAAGGGATTGCGGCGTGACCATCCTCCCTGGGGGCGGGGGGGATTTCTCACTTTCTATCTCTGTCTCTCTGTCTTTCTGGCAAGCGCACATGCCCTACAGCAAAAACCTCTCCAAAAAAAAAGTATGTTCAAGTGCCAGCAGGTGGCATGCCACAAACCTCTCTCCTCCATCTCTCCCTCCCTTCAGGACTTTAGGCACCCACGTACATGCCCAGCATGTTTCTCAAGCTGCCAGGTCTGGGACTCAGACTGCACAGTTGGCCATGTGAGATCCAGCCTCTTAGCCAGCAGGCTGTGGGCTGCTGCAAGAAAAATAATTTTTTTGAGACTTGACATTCTTTCTTTAGAAATCAGACACCTTACTGAACTCTGTTTATAAAGCTTTCAGTCAAGTTTATGCATTTTCCCTCTATATCGTGCTGTTTATTAAAAAGATAATTTTATTTCATTTATAATAATTGCACCTCTTATTTAATTTTAATTGTATCAGCTATCCTTCCAGAATAATATTAAAGAATAGTGATTGTGGCAAATGTGTTTTTTTTTTTTTTAGAATTGTAATATTTAACTTTACTTATTCATTTTAATTTGACGAGAGAGAGTGAGAGAGAGAGGGAGAGGGAAAGTAAGAAAGCAAGCCACCAGATCCAGGACTCAAACTGCAGTTCACCATATGGGAATCCAGCACCATTAACCACCATGCCACTTGCCACACTTGCCAGCCTAGTAAATGTGTTTTAATGATAATGCTTCTTTTGGTTTGGGGCCACAGTCTTAAGATAGATAGATAGATGGATAGATAGATAGATTGATTGATGTATATTATGTGTGTGTGTGTGTGTGTGTGTATGTGTGTATGTGTGTGTATAGGAGAGGTTTTTGCTATAGGGCATGTGCACTTGCCAGAAATACAGAGAGGGACAGAGAGAAAGTGAGAAGTCACCCCCTAGGTGGGATGGCCATGCCGCAATCCATTCTCCTCCATTCTCCTCTTGAGAACTTGGGCACGCACATGTGCCCGGCACGAGTTTAAGCCACTGGGTCCAGGACTTGAACACAAGTCGACTACATGGGAATCCAACAACATGGCCATTATGCCATCTGCTGGTCCTAAGATACATATTTTTTAAAAACCAAGTTAAAGTGT